TAGCAGCATTCTCGTCAAATATATTATTTTGATTTCAAATTTGCAGAAAAAAATCTATTTTGAAGTAATATTTTATGAACTAATAAATATCCTGTAATAAAGTATAATATAAATAAACATTATAAACTCAATATAGAAAAATTAAATATAAAATTAACATAAAAATATTAATCTTTTTCGTTAAGGTATTAGTATTTTTTTCTTAGATATTAACATTTTTATCGGTTACGTTTTCACTGAAAAGATTTCACTCAATCATGCGTTTCCGAACATAAACGTCAAGCACTGAGGGTCACCATGTTTAGTCGAACCGTTCGGATGGTCTGATTGGCCCCGAGTGTGACGTCACACTTTAGGTTTGTTCTTTATAGCTAAACTGGCTGTACTAGTTCAGAGTTTATCTTTTTCCCTCTACATTGGAAGAAGAAAGATAAACTCTGAACTAGTGCAGCCAGTTCAGCTATAAAAAACAGACCTCATGGGTGTTTACGATAATTCAAGTTCAAGTTAGTTTCACTAGGACCGAAAAATGAGATAGACATAACCATCTAGAACCTTTATGATTCATGACAACTCGACGCTGTCTTGTATCAAGATCTATAGAGAGAAGGTTACCTCAGGCAAACCGGTTGTGGACGAGGGACGATGAAGTAAGGGGGGAGCTAGAAACAGCTTGACGGCGAGGGGCGACGAAGTAAGGGGGGAGCTAGAAACAGCTTGTAGGCGAGGGGCGACGAAGGAAGGGGAGTGCATGATGATCTCATCGACAAACAGTAGCTGTCTCTCTCTTTCAAAGTTCTTCCTTTTCTAACTGTTTCTAACTCTGTACGCATTAAATTTTATAATATTGCCCAAAAAAAATCACAAGCACGTAGGTGATAAGAGGAAAGATAAAGATAATCAAAGAAGAGTCGCCAATAAATATAAAAAAATTATTAATTAATTTAACGCAATTCACAGATTAATACAACATATATATATAGATGTATTTTTATTATTATAGATACTTATAAAATTTTATAATCACAATATTGCCGCATATTTAATGATCCCTAATATATACCCCATCATATTTGTTTTAAAGAATTATTTTAAGATTTCAACAGAAACATTTCAATAATATTTTATTAGTAAATATTTGAAAATTGTTAACACTTTGTAAATTTTATCATATAAATATTCACATTTACAATGTTGAAACATATATTACAATTTCATTATTTAAGTTTGTATCATAATAAATTTGTGTATAATGCTTTTTATATTACCCTAGAATTGTACTTACATTTATGAATTTCACAGTTACAATTTCTTGACAATTTTTGAGGTTTTCACAATTAAATATAAAAAATAAATCTTTTTATAGTATTTTTTTGTAAATAATGCATATAAACAGTAAATATT